AGAATTGATGTACTGTAGAAAATGAGAATCCCTACCAAACAGGCCCTAAATTTTTTTTAAAAAAATCCTGCCACTGTTCATCTTCTTCCCCCCACTCCCATTTCCCTGAATCCCAATCAAGATTATTGGGAACTTTGTCCCCCATTGCCAGCTGATTTTGGCCCTGGAAACTCATCACAATGGCTATGTTTAGCTTTATTCAAACAAAAATTCTTCGTTTTCAGGATATATTCATTTTTCGTCTAGTTTTTCAACCTCGAAAAATGTTACTGGACTTCTGTCCAGACCTTGAGGCCTCTAGGGGCATTATTTTCATACTTACTTTCTCTTCATGACAAACTCATTTTAGCAGGATTATGCAACAATATTGGATCATCGCCTTGTTTCATTCTATGGAAAATCGACGAAAAAATGCTCGAAGAATTACTTGCCTGCTTATTTGACAGTAGTAGTGATGAAGATGATAGATTTGCAAGCCTTAAATGTGTTGGATTTGGTAATCTTATATATGTATTCAATGATGAACATCACAAAAAATTATCGAGCTTGTGTTTGGGAAATGAGTGATTATTCAGGGAAATTTGGGAGGGGGGTGGGGGGGGGGGGNAAAACAAAATTACCAATTTGTCCTCAAAGAATTTGGTCAATTTTGACTTTTTTGGTCAACTAACGGCCAACTGGACGGAAACCCTTCATTAGGACCCCGGGTGCGAATTGTTTAAAGGTTTGGTACCGTAGCTGCAATTTTCCCTAAAATTTTATCTCTTGTCTGCATACATAATTTTCACTTTCTGTCAAAGCCTTGGTGGTGATAATGTTCAGATACTAAGTCAGTTCGTTGGAGTAGCATCTCCACTACTCAGACTCTACTAGTTTTTCATTGTATCCTAGGAAACAAAAGCTCGATCTAAACTTAAAACACCTACGGTGAGAGGATAAGTCTGCTTTAAGGAAACTGTGTTAACACTTGCCTCGGTTTCAAAGTTCATTTGCTCTTTTATTATTTCCTACAATTTTAGATTACTTGTTCTATTTTTTTAATGTAATTAATAAAATTATTTAATGAGTAGTATTTTGGTTAACAAACTTAAAATAGATTCATAACAGACAAGTTGTTCATTTTGGTTTATTGAGAACTAGTATTCTTTTGATTTTTAGAAATGGCAA